CGAATAATATATCAGTTTCTCTATACTTGTCTTTACTTTACGGTCTTTATTTTATAACAAATTGTAAAAAAAGTAGCATTTGTTACGAATTGAAACTGAAAGGATATGTATGAATTTTTATTTCTTAAAAAATGTGTGTGCTCTTTTTGTCGGCAAGTGCCACCAGCCCAGATTCTCTACTAAAATAAAGAGGAAAAAACTCACTCACGAGTGACAATTACGTACAGCGTGGAGTGGACCTTTTCGTAGCTGAGCTAATGAATCACGCATTCCCTTTGAGCCGTGGCACCCACCAATTTTGACCTTTTCCCAAGTCAACTCCTCAAAATCACTATCAAACACTCAGGGGTGGAGGTAGTGTGGTAGCTACGGGTTCGGTCGAACCCAATAGCTTTTGTTTAAACATTGTATTTGTATTGAAAAAATTATTAAATATATAAAAATATTTAATTGCGAACCCAGTAACTAAAACGAGCTAGGGTTCGATGATGAAATTAGAACCCATAACCTTAAAATTCTAGCTCCGCCTCTGCAAACAATGCCTATTATTAGCAACCTCATAACTACCTATCAAAAGGTTATGGTAGGATGTATAAAATTCCTTTATTCTTAATTAGAGATTTTGAATCGAGCTTGAGAAAATAGAAGAAAAAAAAATCGGTAAAAGAATTTAATTGATTAAATTCGAATAAATCGAAGTCCCAAAGCAGGTAACGGTCCGATCATCGAGGGAAAAAACAAAACAAAAAAAAACTCATTTTTAAGTTAATTTTGTATTAATACTATTGACAACGAAAGAAACTCGATGATAAAAATAAAAGTTAAAGAAGAGAAACTACTATTAGTATTTTATAAAGCCAATTATAACTCAAAATTCTATCTGTAAAATTGAAAATAAAAGGGAAATATAGTGTATACTTAAACACTCGATGGGCAATGCATTCAAAACTATTTAAATTGGAGTAAATTTTGTAGCAAATTGACGAGATTACTTCTCAATTTATATTATGAAAGTACTTAAAATGCCAATATAGAATAACATATGACACCAATAACTGTAAAACCAAATATTTTGAGTTCGAACATTAAGTATAAAGTAGTCTCTTATGGGGAATCTTTACCCTCAAAAGTGGACTTTTTAACACAATTTTTTTTTGGGTGGACGGGGGAGGCAAAACTCTTTTTCTATCTCTTTTTTGTTTTCCACCCGGTGTTCGGTATTCATATTTGGGACAGATTATATTTGGATTCGTGTCGGATAAAATATTTGGGGAAAACGCTCCCTACCAAGAATTTTCAATATCCAACACTCGAACTCAAAACTTATGATTAAGGGAGGAGCAACATCATCCGCAACACCACGTCCTTGGGTGGTTACTCTCTTTTTATCTCTATAAATAAGTACGGAGTAGTAGTATTCCACTTATTTGTCTCTCCCTCAAAGTCTCTTTTCATCTCTCCAAAAGTCAAAGCTTGTCTTTTTCTCTAACTGTCCTCTCTCAAACAAAGTCAAAGGCAAAAAAAGGGCAAAGTATAGAGAGAATATGGAAGCAGATTGGGACCTACACGCGGTGGTCAGAGGCTGCGCCACCGCCGCTGCAACCAACACCACCACCTCCTCCTCCTCAAGCAGCAGTAGCACAATTACTACTATTTCTAACTCTACAAATGTTCATCAAGTTGACAACTTTATCTGTTTTCAAGATTCATTTGAGCCAAAATTTGATACCACAAATGTTGTTCAAGAATTGCATAATCTTTACGAGCCTTTTGTTATTGGAGAATTGCAAGATCTATCAATCCATCAAACACTAAAACAGCAGCAAAAACTACACAATCATCAGCTTATTACAGGACTAATTCAGCCTAAGCATTTCACAAGTAGTAAATCTAGTGCCTCTCGTCGTATTTCACATGCTCAGATGAGTCCAAGAATCCAAAAAAGGTAAATTCAAATTTTCCATTTATAGTTTTTAATTTCATACGAGGAAGGGGAGCCTTGGAGCAACAATAAATTTGTCTTTGTGTCCTATATGTCACGGGTTCGAGTCGTGAAAACAACCACTAATTATATTATGGTAAGCAATCTGCATTAGGGGTGTACATGGACCAGGTTGGTTCGGTTTTTATCAAAACCAAACCAAACCAACTATATCGGTTTGGATGGTTCAGTTTTATCGGATTTTTCGAGTTTTTTTGTTATATGAATATTATTTCAATTTTACTTTGTTAAATTTTTTATAAGTAAATACATGTTTAGTAAAAATTTAAAAAATCAAAAAATATATGATCTATTAAAATATTATTATGAAAGAATTTTCTTAGTAACACATAGTAATAGTTATTTTTTTGTCGTCTGACAATAATTTTATTTTGATGTACCTTTTCACGATTAACCGAATTTAATAATTAAACGTAAAAATAAATATGAACCTATATAATGATATGTTTTATTTAATTTTAAATTATCAAAATACTATTTCAAATTTGAAAAAGATATAAGGATATAATAAATCTTGACATATGAATATGGAAGAACAAAGAGATTGACGCATTTCACTAACACTTGATAAAAAAGTAATCATACAACACATTATTTAAAGTTAATAAATATAGAGCACTTCATATTTAACTAAATATCACATCCCATAAGAGAATCACAAATATTTTAAGACATTTTTTAAAGAAAATTCTATATATAAAAAGTCTTTAAAGTATATATAAAAATTATATATCTATATGTCGGGTTGACTTGGATTTTTTTTTACTCAATACCAAACCAAATCAAATCAAACCTAATCGGATTTTTAATCGGTTTGGTTTAACTTTTCGGTTTGGTGCGATTTTCCGGTTCGGTTTGTATGCCCCTAGTCTATATCATAGCCCTTGAAATATGGCTTTCTCTGTGCTCTACGTCAACGCGGGATGCTTTATGCACTGTCCACCTTTATTTTTTCATATGGAAAGTATTAAATTTCTTTTATGGAAAAAGTAGACCTTTATCAGTTGGCAGGAACCGCCCTTCCCTAAAGCAGTTAAAGAAATTGGTTTAGTCCATTTTTTGTTATACCTAGGGTACGGGGAAGGATTTGCATCTGCTATGATTTCTGTCAAGGAAATTGTATTTGAAATGAATATCAAACCCGAATTTCGCAAGAAATGTGTGATACATAGGAAGAAATAATTTGATGATAATATTGATAATGAAATATCAAAATCTCTCGAATAGTCCTTCAGAGTTGATTACTTATTATATACACTAGACAAGAGTATTTTATCACTTCAAAAAAAAAATTGAACAATTTGAAGCATATGAAAATATGTTTGGTTTTCTATTTAGCATTGAAATATTGAAATCACAAGATGATGAAGATTTGGAAAAAATATTGCCTTAATCTGAAATGTTCCTTAAAGCATAATAATTAATCTGATATTGACGGTTTAGATTTATTTTCTGAATTAAAAGTGTTAAGGGAAAAGTACAATTAGAAGATAACAGTTTAATTAATATACTCAATCAAATAAAAAGACTAGATTCTTTTCCAAATGCATGTATTGCTTACAAAATAATGTTAATAACTCTTGTTACCTTTACTTCAGCGAAAAGAAGCTTTTCAAAATTAAAATTGATAAAATCTTAACTATGATCAACAATGTCTCAATAAAAGTTAAATGCATTAGCTATATTGTTAATTGAGAAAAATTTATTAGGAAAAATTGATTATAAAAGAATTATTACTAACAACTTTGCATCTAAAAAAAGTTAGAAAAATAAATTTTAACTAAAAAAAATATTTAAAAAAAAAATAAATTAAAATCCCTCATAAAATTTGACTTTAGGCCACAAAATTCGTCACCCCGTCAGTTGGCATATATCCATATCACAAAGTCAATATGCTTATGTGTTAATTAATTTATTTGTTTTGATTGTCACGCATTTATTTGGATTTTTTTCCCAGGAAGAACAAGCTGAAGAAGGTATGCCAAGTACCTGCTGAGGCTATGTCGTCAGACAAATGGGCTTGGAGAAAATATGGGCAAAAACCCATCAAAGGTTCCCCATACCCTAGGTTGGTTATTTTTAATCTTTCTTTTTGTACATTTTAGGTTCCTTATTAAACGTCGTCATCGCCTACCATTATCAACTACCATCATATCACTCACCACTACCATACTCAACCATCACTATCATCCTCAATAATAACCGCCACAATTATCGACTACCACCACCCACCATCACTACCACTCCCACCGCATCATTCTCAACCACAACCAACACTCATCCACCTTAACTACCACAACTAACCACCTCATCACCATGAACAACCAACCGGCACCATCATTATAAACTACCACCACCCACCACCACCTACCTCAATCACAACTATTACTATCACTCGCCATTATTAACTGCACCACCCGTCACCACCATACTCAATGGTAATCGCCACCACTACCAATCACCACTAGCTACTACCCTGAACCACCACATCAATTAAAACTACCACCAACCATCGCCTCTAGTCGGCATTCACAAGTACAACCGTTAGCCATCACCACCAGCAACTATCGTATTGTAAAAAAAAAACTATATATTTGATTGATAGAATATTATATTAAAAAGTATTTCATTTGAATTTTATGTTTATTAATTTTCAAATGAAGATAAAGTTTATACATTCAGATGTTAAAATAAAAGTGTCTTAATCATTTACTATTCGGATCTTAATATTCATATGTGCATTCAGATTCAGATATCTTAATCTTAATACACATTTTGATATTCAGATGTGCATTCAGATTCAGACGTCTTAATCTTAAAAAAAAAAAAAAAAGAGGCCTAAGAGCACTATTTGGGGTTGTTTGGTTCACATGTTAATTATATAAGAATTACTTACTCTAATTAAAATTACTTGCCCGTTTGGCCAAGCTGCAAAATCAGCTTATTTTGAGAAGTGTTTTTTCTCAAAAGTGTTTTTTTCAAAAGTATTTTTTTTGAGAAGTAGTTTGTGTTTGGCTAATTAATTTGAAAAACACTTCTGAGCAGCAATTAGTGTATGACCAAGCTTTAAAAAATTGATTCTAAGTGTATTTCTTAAAAAAATACTTTTGGAGAGAAGCTATTTTTTTCTACTTCTCCTCAAAAGCATTTTTTTCCTTTCAAAAGCTTGGCCAACACCTTAATTTTAGAAAAAAAAAAGCACTTTTGACATAAAAATAAAGCGCTTTTCCCTCAAAAAAAGCTTGGCAAAACAGGCTATTACTCATACATATTCTTATTCCATATTTTATCATGCATAATTATTTTACCAATCTAAACAATGTAATTTTCGAGCGAACGGTGTCAATTGAAACCTCTAGGAGCCATCCGCCACAGATTGTTAGTATTAATTAATATGGTTAGCCAAACGTTATGTTGGTTATGTATGTGATTATTTTCTATGCAGCCAACCAAATACTATAATATTTTAAGCGAGATTTTATTTTATGCTACAATGAATTATTCTTGTATCATCAACCAAACAACTTTAAAGTTTTTATAAATTAAAGAAAAAGAGAGCTAGTTTTCTGAAGCGTGATATTATTTCTTTTGTGGATTAACAGGGGATATTACAAATGTAGCAGCTCAAAGGGTTGTTTGGCCCGAAAACAAGTGGATCGAAATAGATCCGACCCTAACATGTTCAATATCACCTACACTTCAGAACACAACCACCCTATGCCTACTCACCGGAGTTCCCTCGCCGGAATCGCCCGTCAGAAACCGGTGAACTCAAAAGCCAGCTCTGCAGGTGACACTAACAAACCCACCACCTCATCACCGGCGTGCCTCTCTCCGGTACCGGAAAATCAAGAATGCAGTAAAGAAGACAAAGAAGATAGTTTTAATTAGGACGACGATGAATTTGGCGTTTTCCAGTATAGCATTGGATGATTTTCCGAGGACTATGCAGTTTCAGATGGTGGCAAATAACTCTGCAACCACCGTAGACGGCAGTGGTTGACTCAGCTGAAAAAGTCAATGTTGTATCATGCTCTTTTTCAGCAAATTACTGAGTACATAAGATATTTCACCACCACCTCAGTGAAGCAAAGGTTGCAGAGAGCAGCCCAAACTAAATACTTAAGGTGCATTGGATTTAGTAAACAACTTTTTTTACAGACGCAATACGATCTTTTCTCTACTGTAGTTCTTTCAAACAAGAAAGCTTCATATCTGGGCATTATATAGATAATAGAAGTTCATGTCAACTGAATACACGTATCTGGGAATCAAGCACCAGTGGTCTAGTGGTAGAATAGTACCTTGCCACGGTACAGACCCGGGTTCGATTCCCGGCTGGTGCATACTTATTTCTTGTTAAAAAATACTCCCCCCGTTTCAATTTATGTGAACTCATTTGACTGGGCACAGAGTATCTTGTGGTGTAAAATGAGGCACATATATTTTGTGTGGCTATAAATCATTGTGTAAAGGTAAATTGTTTCCAAATAAGGAAATGGGTCATTCTTTTTGGCACGGACTAAAAAAGAAATAGGTTCACATAAATTGAAACGGAGACTTTTCTCTGTCTATGTGCCATGCAACTTCCAAAACCCTAATAATATGTATATCACACACAATATCAACGCATATAGTAGCTACATGCCAGTAATATATCAGCACTCTTCATAATCAAGTTTTGTATATTCTCTTGAATTCAAAATGTTTTTAATATGGTATGTTAAATCATTTAAATCGTAGTAATATATAAACATGAGTAGAGCATGCCATCAAGTCAGGATGGCCGAGTGGTCTAAGGCGCCAGACTCAAGTTCTGGTCTTCGTGAGAGGGCGTGGGTTCAAATCCCACTTCTGACAAATTATTTTATTCTATAGCTAACCATGTGATTTTTATTTTATGCATGTAATTTTTCTTGCTTTACAGTTTTAGGTTGCCGAATGTTTCCATTGTAATTTTAGTTGGTGAATAATTCGAGAGGGCGTGAGTTCAAATAATGTGATCTTCGTGAGAGGGAGTGGCTTCAAATCCCACTTCTGATAAATTTGTTTCCTTTTTATTCTGTAACCAACCATGTGATTTTTATTTTATGCATGAATTTTTTTTTTGCTTTACAGTTTTAGTTTGCCAAAAACGTTTCCTTATGGTTTTAGTTGGTGAATGATTTCAAATCATGTGATCTTCGTGAGAGGGAGTGAGTTCAAATCCCACTTCTAATAAATTTGTTTTCTTTTTATTCTGTATCCAATCATGTGATTTTTATTTTATGCGTGAAACTTTTCTTGCTTTACAGTTTTAGGTTGTTAAACGTT